ACTTTATTATCATAAAGACAAAAATCTTTTGAGAACGTCTGTTTTTTGGGTTGGCAAAAGGATCAGCGGAAAGAGTCTTTTTTATTATATACAAAATTAATAAAGTATAAAGTATATAATAATATATATTGACTTGTTATCATAAACAATTATATCATTGGAAATTTTTTGTTTGTTACTTTTACAATATTTATAAAGTTATATAAGCATTTATAAATATTTCTTTTGAAAGAAAAAGTATATATTTATAAATAAAGTTAATTTTATATATAAGTTAAAATTTTTTACAATTATGATATGTTTTTTATAATGGTTTAAATAAATTGTTTGATAGTAGATATTATTATTTTTTTTGGTTTTTTCATATATAATATAATATAATATAATATAATAATAATATCAACTTTGGTCTTGAATTTCAAGTATATAATATATGTAAGAGTTTAAATATATTGTGACAGTTTAAACAATAAATTGTATTCAAGTCAAAAATAAAACCACAAGTTTTAAAATAAATAATTATTTTATTAACTCAAAGATAAAAATACAATCTGGGTTGTTATAAAGGTAAAAAGATTATCTTTAAATAACTATTCTCTGTTACATAAATAATCTATAAAAATATATAAATAAAAATATATATTATTAATATATACTGTAAGTTCTTATTGATTCTTTCAGAAAGTTTTATATATTATAATATAAAATAAAAAATAATAAAAAATAATAAATGTTATATGCACTTAATAATAATGTTTTGTTTTTTCAAATAAGTATAAAGATAATAAATACAAAATTAATAATAAATAATTAATAATATTCTTGAAGATTCTGGAATATTTTATAAGGTTCCAGGAAGTTTTAAAATGTTCTAGAGTATTTCAAAATATTTCAGAGTGTCTCAGAGGTTTCAAGTTACACATTATATGGTGCAGTAAAATCAGAAAAATTATTATAATATATTAGAACTTATTGATAAAGAAAATTTTAAAAATACTTATAACTATTATTTTAATTATTTGTTATATTTTTTTAATTTGAAATATAAGTTATAAAGATATAAGCTAACATGTTTAATCTATACCAATAATAAGACCTGTGAATCTATAGTACAGTGATTAGTACTTCACAGGTCAGATTATAAGATACCAGTTCAACTTCAAGTAAAGATAGTTAAATAGTATTAATATGATATTTGATGTTATAATCTGTTATGTACTGTTTTTTATATAAAGCTGATTTATATACTGATCCAACAGGCATGAGATTGGGACCTCCAAGAAAGATGCTATAATGTAATGATCATCTGGTTAGTACTATAATAATTGCCAGAAGCTGTCCAATAGTGGTTGAATCAAGTGAAGTAGAGGCATTTATTCAATTTTCCAATTAAGATTTTTTGTACATTTAGATGTATAGACCAGATTATATTCTATCCTAATTAATTCTAATCGACTGTTTTTTATTTTCTACTAGTTATCAAATAAAAAGTCTTGAAGCAAACACAGTATTAATACTAATGTCTTATGTGATATGGTTTTTCTGATGGCTTATATATATATTGTCATATGTCAATCCAATCTCAAAGACTAGCATAGGATGAAGAATTGATAGTAGAAAGATACTTTGAATAGCAGAGGCCAATGTAATATGCTATAGTCATAGAGAAAATACTTGAGATTTTAAAAATTACAAGGCAAGAGATATAAAAATTATAATTGTATGAAGACAAATATAATTGTGGGGATTTGTAAAGAATTGTTTTTTATCAAAATATTATTATACTCTTAATTTTATCAATTCCACCTTTAATTCTCTTACAAGTCTTTCTCCATTTCCTTTATAATTTTCCTACAATTTCTCTATTATTTCTTTCTCTTGTATATAAAATACATGATTATCTTATTTATATAAAAAGAAATAAAGAATATAATTAATATGCTAAATTATTGAGAGTAACAAATAATACAAATATGGAAAAGAAATATGTAGTTTTTATATTGTTTATATTTTAAGTTTTAACTATAATAAATTCAAATTATAGGTTTTTTTGAAATATTGCATATTGTAATTTAATTAAAATTAATAATTTAATATATATATATATTTATTTAATACTTATTATTTTTAATAAGTTTAATTGGAATATAATTATAATTTTGATATTATATTGTTTGGAATAATCTTTATTTTATAGTTTTCTATTTTCATATATCTATTATTGAATTATAATTTTTTTTCAATTTGAATTTGATTAGGCTTAACAGTGTATATACTTTTAATAATATTAAAATTTTTTTGCTTTTTTGTATTTTGCAATTTTATTAAATCAATTAAATAAAAAAAAAGTTTTTGCTAAAAATATTTTCAATTTAATTTATCTTAAATAAATTTAGTTAAACTTGAACATATTATCTGAATATATTAATTATATTTTAATAATTATACTGTATATTTTTATTTATATATTTTTTCCATTTTTATTTTAATACTTTAATATTTGTTTATTGAAAAATATTTTTGTATTTAGCTGTAATTAAAAATTAAAAATTATCATTTATGCTTGTATGATTTATGTATAGTAAGTTGTTAATATAGATATTAACAATTCTGTTAATTTTCAATTAGAAATTTGTATAATGTTAAAGGTAAGTAATAGTTTTTTTTTTTTTTCAAAGCATATAATTTGACTTTACCAAGTTTTATGTAATAAATAAATAAATAAATTATTATTTTTATATTTTTTGGCAAGTTTTTCTTTTTTTTATTTATCAATTTCACTTGTTCGGTTTGTAACAAATACTGAGTAATTAGAATTTATTTCTTTTGGAAATGTCAATTTTCTATTATAACTTGAGAATTTTAATTAAAAATAGATTTATTATTAGGTGATTGTTTTTGTTTCACTTCGTGTCATTTACGCTTTATGTACATTTTCTTCATGGAGTTTATGCATTATGCTTAGAAGATATAAAGATCGTGAAAACCTTCCTGTCAATCTCAAATTCATCATTCTATAAAAAATAAAATAGAAAAACACGAAAAGACATGCATGAATTATCAATTTGCAAACAAGAATCATGGAATATCTACGAGCACTTATTGTAATAAAATGAACGTGAAGATGTTTCGGCGTCACATACAAAAAGTAGAAAGAAGACCTTGAAAGGCAGAATGCATTACTGACACGTCGGATATGAGTTCAATTGGAAATGATAAGAGTTCGTGTTCATTATGAAATGAGAATAGTTACCTGCAGTAAGTGTTTTAATAAAGGCAAGGCGGTCAGATTATGAAGGCTGCCATCAAAAGACCGCAAAAAAATTGTGTAAGAATTAAAATATCATTCTTCTTTCAAGATTGAAAACAGGAACATGACGAGAAAAAAAAGGAAAGATTCAGGACTCAAGAACCGGATGTCTAATGATATCAAAATTTTTAAAAAGAAATTCTATCAAATGATCAAGAGCAAGACCACGAGGTTGATGCTGACATGGTCACATTACAAGTTTCAACATCATCTCGTGCACAAAATCGAAGGATACCATGATCGATTGTTGATACTTTTGTAATGAGCATTACACACCCAAGACGTGCGGAAATTGCGAAAACATGAAGACAATCTCGGTGATGCAAATGATTACATCACAATGCATCTCGCAACATCCTTCTGAAACATCTGACCCAAGGTGACCTATCCCGCTTGAATGATTAGCATACTAACTCGTTATATAATCGTGACAATGATAAAAATAATTTTTATTGTAGATGACCGATTTTTTTTTATAGGAGTATAGTCAAAATAAATAAGTTACACATGTACTGTAGATAAGATGTTAAAATGCTACAGAAATTAATACAATGATTAGGATATTTGTTATTATTTAGCACATATTTTTTTATTTTAATTTTTTATTCCGAAATAGTAAATAAATAAGCTTTTACAATATCCATTACGGTACGTGCTAACCTTCGTTATTATTTACTTCATCATTCTCATCGGGAATCGTCAGACCATAAACACCACTGTCTAAAAACATAATCATCAGTACTGTATTCGGTGAATAATGTTAAAATTTGCTGATTTATTATACGTACCTGACGCAGATTCGATGTGAGGTATTCCCACAGATTTCACAATGCTCACTACCCTACTCGTATAGGAATCATAAAATTTCGACGAAGCACTTTTGCATGGTATACTATTCAAGTAATTTTCAAAGTTTTGCGATTTTTCCATTCTTTCCATTTGGTCTTTTATTTCATGGAAGCTTTCTGATTTCGAGTGTAAATGCCAATCCGAGAGATATTTTTGCAACTCTTTTGCTTGTGGTCGATCTTCTGGATTTTGGCTCCAGCATCTTTCAATCAAATCAATGACGAATAGCGGAGTTATATTTTTATTGATCTCTGGACGAAAACCTTGAGTAATTTTTAGCGCAAGATCAGTATTATGTGGTCTATTATAAAATGGTGGGCATCCTGACGCTACCTCATTCATAATTATTCCGAATGAATATATGTCTGTTGCCATTGTGTGTTTTCCTCCACATAAAATTTCTGGTGCAAGATATGCCAGTACACCAAATATTTCGTTTTTCTTTGCTCCCTCCGGTGATTTATAATTAGCCGGTTGACAAAATCCAAAATCTGTGACAAAAGATGATTGACCTGAGAGAACGAAGTTTCCAGTATGCAAATCTTGATGAATTAATTTTGCTTCATGGATATTGTAGAGACCGTTAGCCGCTGTATATAATATTTCCAATTTTTGGTTCCACGTTAAAGTTGAAAATTTGTTTCTTATATAATCACGAAGACTGCCATCTTCCATAAAATTCATAATAATCATGAATTTCTTAGTATTAGGATCTTTTGTTATTCCAAAGCATTCGACTGTATTACCAAGCTCATAATGTGATTGCATTTGACGATCAATCTAATGCATAAATTACATTTAATAATAGCATATGATTGATTAAAACAGAATAGAAAACAACTTACTTCCTTTAAAAACTGCTCGGTTTGCTCGGTTGTATTATTCAAATTATGTAAACATTTAAGAACAACATTCATATCCTTCCTTCTATACCAATCCTGAGTCTTATTATCAAAATAAAGAATGCGCCCGGCTTTCCATTTGGCTTTATACACGACTCCGTAACCGCCTTCCGCAATACATTCAACATTCTCGAAATTTTCGAATGAAACCCATTCCAGAACTCTATGATGATTAACGGCTCTATTCTGAATATTCCTAATAAATTTGTCGATTATACTGTTGCCACTTTCCCACTGAAGCTTCGAGAAGTGCTCAGCATTACATATATTACACCAGCTGATATCAGTCTTGTATTGTCTACAGCGTTCACATTTTTCATATCCCGCGAAATAAAGATTGAGTTCATTTAATTTTTCTTTAGTTAGCTGTGGTTCCGACGTTTCATGTGAATCATCTTGTAGTTCCATAGTGCCTCTATAAATTCATAATGATTAAATTAGTCAAAGTTCTTGAACATGATGTGAAGCTTACATACCAACATCATTAGGTCTGAAGGCACACTGTATCATGCGCACGTACATTGTGCCTATAAATATCTCTATAACGTAAATGTGCAACGTATTACTGAACTGAACAATCAAATTTGCAATCGATTGTACAAAACGCGAGCATTAGTTTTATTCAATTTATTTAATTTAATATTCAACTTAAGTGGTAATTATAAAGTGCATCCAACGAATATTAAATATCTTTAAAAATTAGATTGAATTTGGACGGTTGATTTGGTAAACAATTTAGAAACCAATAATTGAATATATAACATTTATTTTTCAAAAAAATCACCTGCTGCTGCTCATACCTAAAACGATCGACAGCTTGTACAAATCATAACATCTTTATATTGAGCTTTAGAGCTGATAATAAAAAAGATGTTATATTGTATAATCCGAGTTAACAGGCTAAATAAAACTATGATGCTTTTATAATGTTCATTAAACAAGCTTACCAAAAAAAATCAAAAATATGACTGCTCTATATTAAATAATCTTTCAAGGTTACAATAATTATATAATTTTGAATCATGTAAAATTAATAAAACATGATTATTTGGTTCAAATTGTAAATAAAAAAAAAAATAATAAATTGACTTTTATTTATTTATTTTTATATGTATCTATTAACTAAATAATATTTATGTTTTTTTTTTTTTTTTAATCCCGCAATCAGGTTGGTGTCGTTTATTTATTTAATCATAAAGAACCATTACAAGTT